TTTTTGCTATCAGGTACCTAAGTGCTGCATGGTCAGTATAAACAATCACTTTTGAACCAATCAAATAAGACCTGAATTTGTCGAATGTAAACACTACAACCAACATCTCTTTCTCAGTCACGGTATAATTAAGTTGTGCACTGCTTAGTATTTTGCTTGCATAGTAAATTGGGTGCATCGGTTTGTCCTTTCGCTGCCCCAGGACTGCTCCTATAGCATAGTCACTAGCATCACACATGAGCTCAAACGGTTGCTCCCAGTTGGGTGCAACGATAATTGGTGCAGTCACCAGTCTCTTCTTCAGCTCCTCAAATGCTAACCTGCAGTCATCAGAAAACACAAAAGAATGATCATTTTCAAGGAGTTTACATAAGGGGTTAGCAATTTTAGAGAAATCCTTTATAAATCGCTTATAGAACCCGGCGTGCCCAAGGAAACTTCTTACTGCCTTGACTGAAATGGGCAGTGGAAATCGCTCAATCATGTCAACCTTAGCATGGCCAACCTCAATACCCTCACTGGACACTCGATGACCCAGCACTATACCTTCTTGTACCATAAAATGACACTTCTCCCAGTTTAGCACTAAATTTATCTCCACACACCTTTTCAGCACTCTTCTTAAATTGTGAAGACAGTCTTCAAACGAATCCCCTACCACAGAGAAATCATCCATAAGGACTTCCATAATATCTTCAACCATATCAGTGAAAATGGCTAACATACACCTTTGAAAGGTGGCCGGTGCACTGCATAAGCCAAACGACATTCTCCGAAAGGCAAAGATGCCATATGGACAAGTGAATGATATCTTCTCTCTATCTTCAGGGGCTATGGAAATCTGATTGTACCCCGAATACCCATCCAACAAGCAGAAGTGAGACCTCCCTGCCAATCTATCCAACATTTGGTCAATGAATGGTAAAGGAAAATGATCTTTCCGGGTGGCTATGTTCAGTTTTCTATAATCCATACAAATTCTCCAATCTGTAATTGTACGGGTCGAGATCAACTCATTATTCTCATTGGGCACTACAGTCATTCCACCCTTCTTTGGCACACACTGAACTGGGCTGACCCAGTTACTGTCAGAGATTAAGAAGATGATTCTCGCATCTAACCACTTGATCACTTCTTTCTTCACCACTTCTCTCATGTTAGGGTTCAACCTTCTTTGATGTTCTTTGAAAAGTTTGTGCCCATCTTCCAGTAGAATCTTATGCATACAAAATGTCGGGCTGATCCCCTTAATATCTGCAATGGTCCAGCCAATTGCAGTCTTGCATTCCATTAACACATGCAAAAGATATTCTGCCTGCACATCTAACAAACTGGATGAGATAATAACATATAAAGTGGATTTAGGTCCCAAGAAAGCATACCTGAGGTGAGACGGTAAAGGTTTTAGCTCCAACTGTGGTGGCTCTTCAATTGATAACTTAGCTGGAGGTGTTTTTCTTTCTTCTAAGTGTAAGGGCTCGAATTTGAGCTCTCTTTTCCAGTACCCTCGCCCTTCAAGGGCCAAAACCCACTATGCCAAGTTTTCACCATCCATTTCTTCTAAGTTCACGAGGCATGCTGCTAGAGGGTCTTTTGCGTTCAGAGTCTCATCTTCCTCCTCCAAGATTACATCCACAGCTTCTATCAGAGAGCAGTTAGCAAACTCACTGGGTCGCCGCATAGATTTCTGCACATTAAACGTTATCTCTTCATCGTTCAGTCTGATCTTTAGCTCCCCAGTTTCACAATCAATTAGGGCTCTCCCAGTGGCCAAGAATGGCCTTCCCAAAATTATGGGAATCTCCTCGTCAACCCGGCAGTCTAGAATGACAAAATCTGCTGGGAAAACAAATTTTCCCACTTGTACTAATACATCATCAAGGATACCAGAGGGCCTCTTCACTGTCCGATCAGCCAGCTGTAATAACATAGACGTGGGTCTAGCTCTTCCAATGCCTAACCTTTTGTGGATAGCCAATGGCATCAAGTTTATGCTTGCCCCCAAATCACAAAGTGCCTTAGCAAATGCATAGTTGCCTATTGTGCACGGGATTGTGAAACTCCCTGGATCAGATAACTTCTCAGCTATGGATCTTGTCACAACAACACTACATGTCTGAGTCAGTGTAACCGTGGCCAAGTCTTGAAAGTCGAACTTACGAGACATCAAGTCCTTCATCATTTTTGCATAACCAGGCATTTCCTTTAAGGCGTCAATCAATGGAATGTTCACCTGAATTTGCTTCAACATCTCCAAGAATTTCTTATATTGCTCATCTTTTTGATATTTGGCCAATCTCTAGGGGAAGGGTGCTGGAGGCCACTTCTTTCCTGTGATTTGATTTTGAACCTTCTCTGGCACTGTTTCTACTGCCTTCTCTTGCTCTGACTCAGTTTCCTTCGCGACTTCTTTTTCTTTGCTTGTTTCAGCTGGCGCATGTTGTACCGTCACCTCTGTTAACCCTGTTGAGTCATCTATCTCGATGGGTACTGACACAAGTGTTTCAGTAGGCCAGCTTTCACGAGCCATCTCTTGCTCCAGATCTAGGTCTCTACCATTTCGTAGACTCACTGCCATAAGCTATTTTGGGCCATGTTCTCTTGGATTGACTTGTGTATCTGCAGGTAACGTCCCTTGGGGACGATTGTTTAGGTCCATAGACATCTGTCCTAATTGAATCTCAATACCCTTTATCGCTGATTCATGCGACTCTACCCTCTGTTGCATTTTCCCCATAGACCCAATCAATTGTTGCAGCATTCTGTTGTTGCTGTGCAGCATTCCCTCAAGTTTAGTAAACCCATCATCTGGTCTCATAATCTGTTGTTGTTGAGGTTGTTGATAAGTCAGCTGTTGATTTTGCTGGATGTAGCCCTGTTGCCTTTGGTAAGGCGCAACTTGACCCAGTGGTCGCATAGCTCCAGGATTGTTGTTGTTATTGTACTGCTGCTGCGCTGGTCTATATTGTTGATTATGTTGACCCCAATTCTGATCACCTTGCCTCTGTCCCCCCTAGTTGGCTACATAATTCATATCTTCCTGATATTGCTGGTTGTCACCTTCCGCACTCCACGAGCAAACATATGGTTGGTTAATGCATGGTGTACATAAGCCTCCATTGGTTGTGTCAACTATGTGAACCTGCTGCTTCTGGCCTGATTCATCAATCTTATTGGTGAGGATACTCATTTGTGTCATTAGAGTAGACACATTCTCAGCTATGGAGTTGTTTGGGTCCAAAGCCACTGAGTGAACTACCAGAGTGATCGTAGAGGCTCTTGTCATCCATCCTGAGTTTGGGGCCATCTTATCAAGTAGGATCTTGCATTCTGCGAACGTTTTACTCAGAAATGCTCCACCTGCTGAAGCATCAACATTGGCCTTTAAACTGTTAGCCAGTCCCATGTAGAATCTCTGCCCCAACATCTGATCTGGAATACCATGATGTGGACACTTAACCAACATGCCCTTGAACCTCTCCCACGTTTCTTGTAGTGATTCTGTTGGTCTCTACCTGTAGCTCAATATATCATCAATATGTTGGGCAGTTTTATTTGGTGGGTAGAATTTGTTCAAATATTGCTTGACTAATTCCTCCCAAGTAGTGATGGAATTTATGGGGAGTGAATTAAGCCAAGTTTGAGCTTCTCCTGTCACCGAGAATGGGAACAACAAAAGCTTTATTGCGTCCGGTTTCACGTTAGGTTGCCTTTGCGTTAAACATATCGACATAAAATTCTTCAGGTGCTGATGAGGATCTTTAATGTGTGACCCTGAGAACAGTCCCTTGTTCTGCAACAAATGTAGCATGTTGTTTGTGATTTGGAATGATTCTGCTTATATTTGAGGGACTACAATTGCGGTTGCCAGATTGCTGACGGTGGGTTGTGCCCAATCATATAATGCTGTTTCTGGTACAAGAGGCACCATACCCCGATTATTTGGTTCATTCTCATTGTTTCTGTTGTTGATTGGATTTTCTATTCCGTCAGCCATGTCTGGTTCGATTTGTTCTGGCGAGTTTCGTTGCTGTTTACTTTTCTTGTTTGCACGATTTAGTGCCTTGAAAACTTTCTCAGGATCTGATAACGCTTCGAGCAATTCACCAGTTCTTGAGGAGTTCCTAGGCATGAACCAGTAACACCCAGGAGACGTTAAAATTTCAATGTATTTGGTTTAGAATGAAGAAAATTGACTACACTAAGAATTCTAGCACTTCTTTTAGCTGCAATTAATAACACCGTTAATTCTCCGGCAACGACGCCAAAATTTGATCACGCCCAATTATGCCTTATAAAAAGGACTTAGCAGTCATTGCAAATATATTCCGGCTAATAAGTTCGGAGTCGAATCCTATAGGGAATTAACCTATCAAACACAGCTACTAGACTCGCACAAATTCACGCAATCAATCTTCAGAAATATTTAAGTAACAATTTGGGTTTTTATTAACTAAATATTATGTAATGAAAATGCAATAATTAATAACTAACTACGAATGGGTTGTAAACAAGAATTGGAATGATCTAAGGTTGTGATTTCCCTTATTGTCAGAATCTTTTCTGCTATGTTTTCTACAAATTTGCCTAAGTCTTCTCTATTGACCATGAGCACTCTAACTATCGCAACTCTCTCCCGAGTAATTACCACAATTTACTGGACATATTCTCCTGAATTACGCTAGATGGCATTAAGAATAGCTCACTCAGATCGTTCCAAGGTTTCGTTATCCATAATCCCACCTTTAAACCTCTGTATTGATCCCTCATATACGTTTAGGCGTAGTGATATTGTTCAACAACTACCTAACTATGAACTCTCTCCCGAGTAATATATACTAAATAGGCATAGCTAATTGAGGGCCCTTCAATCAACCACAAGAATAATATAGTTGAACAAATTGAGAAAATACTACGACAAATTTATATTAACGTAACAAGAAAATCATCCTTCAATAGGTTCCATCAAAACCTTAGACTATGAATTTAGATACTCATGATCAAAGTAACAATATCCAAAGTATGTTGCATAATTAAAGTACAAAGTAAAGATGAAAGGATGTAGAAATCGATGATTCTAACTCCCAACGGGTGATTCCACAAGCTATTCTTGCCTCCGGTTGCAAAAGTCCCTTCAAGTGGCATTTTTAGGTCTATTTATAGGTGTAGGAAAAGACCTAAACGTGTAGGCCAAGTCCTAGTCAAACTCGGAAACGAATTAAGTATTCAAAACTCGGATTGGACCTGGCCCCAGGCCTGGCGTCGCCAGCCTAACGCCTGATGAACCTGGCTCCAAGCCTAGCGTCGCCAGCCTAACGCATGGTTCTGCTTGGCCTTTGCCTTGCGTCACCAGCCTATCGCCAGCTTCTCTCATTCACTGCTCCCGCGCACGCTTTCGACTTGTAGGTCTCCTTTTTCTTCTACTTTCATCTCCAATTCACCTACACATAAAATGGACCCTATTACACGCAAATAAGGTATACTTTATCATTAAAGCATATAGAATGCAAGACGAATAATGTGCTAAACCATGAATTATAGCCACACATCACTGGCACTTCTTATTTTGTTGTGCCCCTCATTGAATCATCCACATTCCATACTCAATGGGAAAAGAAGCGAACATGCACATTCGTATATATAGTTTTGGAACAAAAGCACTTCGAGAAAATTAAATTTAGTACGCATGAATAGACTTGGTGAGACCTATCGCTAGCATTGTCAAAAGATTAGACTAAGACAAACCTCTTTTCGTAATAACTGACGTATATGGATCATGTGGATCACTTTGTTGTATTGATGTTGTACTTAATATGCAAATCATTCTAATTAATACATGAAAAAGGTTGTGACTTACAAAATTTGAATACAGAGTAGTGACCAGTTATGTTTCCGTTGACAAAGCCAACTATTGTGCCATATGCAGAAGATGTATTAGCTACTGCAGAACATAGGTTACTTCAATTTACTTCAATGCAGTCTAAACTTCGAGTGTGGTAGCATTAGTCAAATGTGGAACACAAACTTCAGCTCAAAGATGTTTAAGACCAAATTAAACTTGAAAATTATAGACCAATACAACAAATAAAACTAATAATTAACTAAAGATTAAAGCTTTTTGTAAACCCATTATTTAATGTGCAATTTATGCCCAAAAAGTTGGATTGAAGAGCCAATTTTTCACTATTTTTCTAGCCTTTAGATAATTGGAATGTTGTGCGATTCATTAAAATTTTACTGCATGAACATCTTTGCTGGCAACCCTGCCAAGATTTTGAAGTTGTAATATGACTATTTTACTTCCCTTTGAACTTTTCATTCGTATTCAAACAAACACATGCAAGAAAATTATTATTTTTCTTGTGTTTCCTTTATTAATCTTTCTTAAAACTCAGTCGCTCATTACTCTTTTAAGACATGTTTGAGATTGTACTGTAGACAATTCCCAGCACAGTGCATCGTCATCATCTTAAATTAATTTTTTCAGTGTCAATAAACAATTGATACTGAAGAACGCAAAACTTTGTTATTCCAATTTACAAAAGCTAACTCAACTGATAGGTTTGGTCGTTCAAGAATTTTTTCAAACACATAAACAATAGAAAATTAATCTACTGTGTTAATAATTGCTTATTATTAGGACTTGGTATTTTAACCTATTTCGTTTACTGTATGAACATGTGCTAATCAAGTAGTATTAACTCTTTTGCTTCTCTTAGGATGAGAACCCACAAATAAAAAACTTAAGATATACAAAATTCACATATAATTTAAAATATTCAAAAGCCACAAATGTAAAACCCACAAAAAATATAAAAATTCAATTTTTAGAACATATAAATTGGATTTGCAAACTCAAAAAAATAAAACTTTGAGAAATCCAAAGGTCACAACGTAGAAAAGAAACCCAGAGATAAAAGTTCATATAAAAGAATCAATATGTTGAAGTGGGTATAAATATATAATAAAGCCAACTAATTCAATAACCAAAGAAAAGCAGTCAAATTTTCAAAGCATATGATAACTATAAATTCAAACTCTAAAAACAAAAATTAAAATCCATACTTTTACAGCAAAGAGACGAAACCCATGCGGAAGATGAAAGTCATGATAGAAGAATTACAAGAGACAAAGATGAGTAATTACCAGAGTAATCCGCCAAAGTACAAAGATCAGAAGAAGATGAGCATGGGAAGGGCGACGTCTGTTTGCAGACAAGAGTTTTTGGTAAAGTGTAGGTTAATTACTTCGCAACTGTCAAAAAATGAATCCAGGTGTTGATATATTAATACAAGGAGTCAGCTAGTAAATGACCAAAATATCCAGTAAATCCTAAGCAGGCATGTTTACCTTTAGGTGCTTGCTATTCCCTCTTTTTAATAGTAGTAAATAATATAAATTTAGTAATTGATTCTTCTTTTATTTATCTTGCAACTTATGGACTTGTTAGGCCATATTATAAAGATCCTTTTTGAATTTACTGAAAATTTTATAAGAAAATATTAAATAATAGTTTAAAATTTTACAAGTTATTACAATAGATCAAAGTCTAATATTATGGGGAAGGGGTAAATTTTCAAGAGCTATATCTGTATCACTTTTTAAAATAGGGACAAAATTTAAGTAATAGCCTAAAAATGAAAATTTGTGTAAATCATCCCATTATAGTACAATGTTAAGGGTGACGTATATAAATAGCCCTCAAAGTGAATGATCTGAAAATTTTATTTCTGCTAGCCCCATAGACAAGTAAATCAAGTGTAGTCCCTTTGCTTGCCTCATGGTCAATAACTTTTGAATTTAAAGTTCTGTCCATAGGATAAGTGAGGGTCAAAAATTAAATATTACCCGAAAAAGTGTCATATTTCTGTAATCTATTGCAATGTTAAGGGATGAAAAAATAACTAGGTTCACTTTTTTGACTAGCTATTAGAGTTTAGCTATATTTTGAATTGTAATGATAAAGTAGTCACTCTTCCCCTGCTAAATACAAAATACATTTTGAAGACCCATGAACATTTTTTGATTTTTGAGCATTTACTAGTGTAAAATTCAGAAACGATTCTCGGAGGTCAAAATACTTGCATTTAAACCTTTAATGTGAAACAATGTGAAAAAGATTCAAACTCGAGTAATCGTTGCTAAGGTTTGAATATATAAAGGTTTAAAACCCAGTAATTGTTGCATGGGTTTGAACCTAAAATGATTGTTTCATCTATGCTGCCTTTTTTGAACTCAAGAATAATGTCATGTAGTTTCAGCTTGTGTAAATTAGAACTCCATGATCGTGTCATAGATTTCAAAATAAAGTATTTTTGAGTGAAACAATGTGAATATAATTTAAATATCAGTAACCGTTGTTGAGGTTTGAACCTATAAATGTTATGATGGAGTTTGAACCTATAAAGGTTTGAACCCTAGTAATTATTGCTAGTCTTTGAACCTATGATGGCTTGAAATCCAGTACAACATGCTGAAATTTTACCTTTAAAAGCTCTGAAGTCAAGCACCGTATATTTTGAGATTATAGTTATAGAGAGTTTTTGGAACTCCACCGATCCAAAAAGTGACCATTTACCAATTTTACGCTTAAGGGACGATCTAGGGTTAGCTTAGCCCAAAAGTCACCTCATAATAATGACGGCCCATATATGCAACATGTTATCAGTGAAAAAATAAAATAAAAATAAGAACGTCTTTTTTACAAGAGACTTTCTTTGACGTATGTCTACAAGTGTCTATAGCTTACATTACATTTCCTAATCATAGCATAGAACTGAGATGATACAAATCGAGACATCTATTAGCTCTCCAGATGCTTCTCTTATTGTTGATCATTTTTGTTTATTAAAAGAAATTGGACCAAATTTAAATTTAGATCCTAAACGTGCCATGTGCTGCAACATTTTTCTTTTATTTAACGCACATGGATCTGCAGCTTTGCCTTTTAATTCAACTCGGATAAACCCCTAATATTCAAAAGAAGTAAAGCTACATCCCTTGTCACTACATCCTCATCCATCTTTTTCTTTTAGCCTTTGCTTATTCACTACATAAAATCGAAACAAAATTGTTTCTTGAAAATACAATCAGTCATCCAAATTCCATCAATTATTCTTGTCCTCCCCACATGCATTCAATTTACTTTTGAACCTTATTTCTCCTTTCTAGTAAATGCAGAGTTATTTAACAAAGAATTACGGAGTACTATTTAACTAGTGTGGGGTGGGAAGAAAAGAGGTGAAGAATCTCTGTATAATTTGGCATCAGAAACTCTAACTTTGCTCATCTTGTCTTCGCACCAATGCAACTGTTCATCATTCAGTTCACTCATTCTCAATACTCTTGACACCACTTTTAAGTCTATTAATCCCATCAATATCTCCATCTCTTCCTCTTCTTTTAATCTTCTTTTCCCCAAGCTGCATTTTCCTGACCGACGTAGATCTTTCACCCTTGACTTTTTCTGCACATCAAAATTATTTTAATTTTCAATTTGTTTTAACAAAAGAGAACAGATAATTAATATAGATATATACTTGCCTTTTTGTTTACTTTCTTGAGTAAGAGGAGAAGACTTGGGTCAGCAGAACCTCTTTTGTTTTTCCTAAACAAAGCTGCTACTAATACTTGGCAACGATTCTTCTTGTCCGCCTTAAGGAAATTCATAAATGTTCTGATTGCTTCTTCCATTATCCGAAGAAATGATTTTGAAGATATTCTCGAGCAAAAATCTTCCTGTCCTTTTTCCTCATCCGAATCTACTCAAAATAAAGTAACAAGCATAACTAAAGATCATTAATTGTCAGTTTGTCACAAAAGTATATTGATATGAAGAATATGTATTCGTAGAAATTCCAAATTTTAAGTGTATTCTTTACACTGCCAAAATTTAAACTCAGAACAAAAAACGGCTTACCTTGATATTCAGGGACTTGAAGCAACTTAGGAGCTAAGCTTCTCATTCTAGCATAAATCTCAGGTCTCTTACCATGTTCGTATGGCTCATTCTCAACATATCTTTGTAAAAGCACTTGAAACTGTTGAAATTGCTGAGCTATATATGCAGGACAGCCTAGGTCCTCTTCACTCCGCGAAGCTCTTAGGCTTTTAAAGTATTTATAATTCCAGCTCAGCGCTTCCCATGCTAAGCATACCTATATGAGTCGTGTGTATTCATGATTTAAATTTGACGGATTAATTAAGTATTTAATACTCGATTCAGTTGAACCTGTTTGACTACATATAGCATCCGCATTTGCTTACTTGTGCTACATAAGCGGCCTCCAATTCGTGATACGGGTTTTGTCGAAAATCGGATGATTTCCTGTTCTTTGTTGCCAGTTTATAGACAATCCTGTCTGATATTGATCTTGGACATGATTGAATGGATCTTAGTGATTCTGAAATTTTGAGTTATGAGCTTCATTAGTCTAAAATAAGAAAACACATGGAAGAAATTAGATATTAATTGGAAAATGACAGTAAAAGATTAATGTGGGTAAATCCAGGGTGTTGCCTAGTGTATGATGAGTGCAAATCTTGGATTCCAGAGTTTAAATCCAAGCAAAAACACGTCTAAGCCTTGTCGGCGAGAGTTACTTAATATTTGTACTGATGTAAAGTAAAAATGGAATAGTCCAAGTGTATGCATGGCCCGACACCATTGTTTTTCTTAAAAAAGAGAAAGGATAAAGCGGGTAAAGTAAAATATTATGTACCTGTTTCGTGGAGTTTTTGTACGCTGATTCTATCTAAAAATAGCATTTCTTCATCATATTTTTGGAAGACAGTGTAAGACTCCCATTTGGGGCAGCTTCTCCTTGAAGAAGAAGAAAATGGATCTTCAGAGTCTTTAATGGAGTTTCTCCATTCAGAGGAGCTCTTAGAAGTGGAGCCAACAGTATAAGAATCCCCATATATTTCATCAATATCATCCTTTTCTTGGAATTGGAATATTTTCTTGCTTTCTAATTTGGATGGTGCATAAACCAAGAAATTTTCCTCTCGACAAAGTAATTTATTACTCTTCTTAACTTTCTTCTCTTTCTTGATTTCCCTGCAACACTTTCCTGTACACATAAGCAAGAAATTAAATATTTGGAAAATTTGCACGAAAACTATTCTTCGGTAACCTGCTTATTGTACACTAGTCACATAGGAGATATTATCCGCACTAGACAAATCCGATGAGACGAGCTCTGACTGAGAAGGTTGCTGGTGAGGAGAATCAATCTCAGGTCTCTCACGTGGAAAACCAATCACCCAACCCTTGCCGGCAATTAAAGCTTTGAACGCCAAGAAATAACCATTTTGTTCTTTAATATGATGAACAAATTAAACATAATACGTACCATGATTAATGTCGTTTGTTTCAGAATCACAATTATAAGAATCCGAATTGAGAACCTTCTCTTCATCATTATCACTATGAACAGATTTTGAAGCTGGTGATTCATAAATTGAGTCTCCTTCATCAGTTTCACAACTTTCTTTTGTACTCTGTTTCGCATAGCTAAAAATCCGGTTTTCTTGAGCAATTCCATTAGGCATGAACACCAATGTTTCACTCTCCTTAAATGTGTCTGCTACAAAATGATTTTCCTCCCCTTTCTCAGCATCATTATGATAATATTCATCTTCTTCGTCCGAAAACTCAGCAAATTCATATCCATTATCTCGATTCCTACAAAAATCCACAAATTTTCGTCACCATATATGAAAATTGAAAAATTCAAATTAAACGAAAAGGAGGGGGAAATTTGAAGTAGTAATAAATATATACCTCCAGAAAAACGGATTTCCACCGAGAAAGTAGAAAAGCTTGGCAAGTAAAATGGAAGTGAAGTAGGAGAAGATAAGGAAGAGTTGAAACGAACTCGAGACATTGTAAAACAACTTTGCAATAATTTCTTCAGAACATTGCATTGTTTTCTGGATGAGAAGCGGCAAAGTTTTTTGAGTTTATTAGCGATCGCTCTTCTTTACTTAGGTAAAGCAAAACAAAGTAGCACTAAGTTTAAAAAGCTAAGGTCCGTCCTTTAATTGCTTTCCCGTATTTCCTTGTTTGTCAAGATGGTCCTTTGCTTTTCCTGTAGAGATTTACTTATATATTCCTTGCGCTTGATTATTTTCTTACCATACTTTAAGCAACGTAGTATCATTTTTTTTTTTTTTGGATTCACTCATAACATAAATATTTTCTAATTAGTGGTGTTTAACCTATTACTAGTGTTAGAACCCGCGTGATGCG